GGGTCTGAGTCCTGGCAGGGCTGAGGTCCTCTCTGGCCCCGTTTAGGATAGAGACAGGATGCAGGCCGTCACGTACCACAGTGTTGTGTCCATCTGTCTGTCTGTAATGCTGTCTGTCCATCCCACTAGTAACCCTGGAGGCAGTGGTGGCCAGTAGTGCTGGCGACCAGCATCAGCCCCTGGCAGCGAGGGTAAGGTACGCAGGTAGGGAGTTCCCAGAGGTTTCTAGAACAGCAGTGGCCAGGGAAGGAGGAGCGTGGTTGTAGGGCCCAGCCACCCTGGGGGTGGCCGAGCTGCAGCTCAGCCCAGCAGGACCAAGTCAGGGCCAAACGATTGCTGTGAGCCCCAGCAGAGCCCCAGGGTGGCATGGATTTAGCTCCTGTTTGCATGAGTTAAACCAGGGAACTCGAGCTGGGGTCAGAGCACGGACAGTGCCAGGGGAGGGCAGAGGTGGGGAAGCGAAGGCACGGAGCTCACGGGCTTGATTCAGCCCAGCAGGACCAAGTCAGGGCCAAACGATTGCTGTGAGCCCGTGACAGGTAGGGTTAGCCTTCATGTGTGCTCAGAGAGGAGGATCACCTCTGTACCACCTGCACCACATGTGGACCTGTGGCTGCTCCGGGGCAGGGCTGGGGGTCTCCAAGCACTGCTGAGTTGGTGGGCTATGCTGCCCCATACTGCAGGCAACAAGGGCTGCGGCGTGTGGATGATGTCCTCCAGCCTCCCACACCTCATCAACAACCAGATCAGCCACAACAGCATCTATGGGGTGGCAGTGTTCTGCCGCAAGGACGATGCTAGTGACTACCCCCCTGGCCAGGGGAGCAGCGAGAGCTTCCAGGAGGAGAGTGCTGGTGGGGAGAACGACCCTGACAGTGAGGAGGAGTGTGCAGCTGCCCAGCATCCCATCAGCGTGGCACTGGTGGAGTTGAACAGCATCAACCACAATGGAGGTGAGCTCGAGCCCAGGGCTCTTCCCTGGCTCCAGGAGACATGCAGAAATACATTTGTGGTCATCGTGACTGAGGCTGCAAGCTCTTAACTGATAGCTCTTCTTTTTGTTTGGCAGCTGCTGGGTTGCACGTCAAGAGCAGCGAAGCGCTGAACATCATCGCCAACGTAATTCACGCCAACCAGGATGGTGGGGTGGCGGTGCTGCAGAGCAGCCAGCTGACGTGCATCACCAACAACAGCATTTCCCGCAACAGCCGGGAAGGCGTGCTGGTCGAGGCCGCGTGCCAGGTGGAGCTGTGCGGCAACGGCATCTACGAGAACAGCAGCCATGGCATCAGCTCCAAGGGAGAGGGTGTGATCGTGGAGAATGACATCATTGGCAACCACAGGTGTGGCCTTCAGCTGCTCCAGGCAGCAGACATGAAGGTGCGTCTTGTGGAGAGCTGAAGGGGCACCGACTTGTGCGTCCCTGCCGTGGGGGGACAGGGTTGAGGCAGAGGCTGTGGCGGCTGCTGCTGCCCTCCCTCTCTGGGCAATTGGGAAGCCAGCAGGCCCCAGGTTGGGAAGCAGGACAGGAGGGACTGCCCTGGCATTGCCAGCAGGAGGAGTGGACAATCAGGATCGCATCCTCGACCCGGAGATTAGAGAGGGTGTAATTTCCAGGCTGCGTTAGAAGTGCATCCAGCCAACTGAGGGAGGTAGCAACGAAAAGAGTAAATTTCCCAAGTCCTGTCTCAAGGCAGTATCCTTGTTGACAGTGATCTACAGGTGGCTTGTCACATCTGTCTGATGTTTAAGCCTTGGTATAGGACAGTTCAGTTGTCATTTCCCATGTGTGGATTCACAGATGGCTTGTAGGAGAGACCTCTCTTCCCTCAGACTGGCAAAGGGAATCGTGCATTTTGGTGCAATGACATTCAACAAAGTCCATCTTTTCCCAGGCTTGTCCCCTATGTTTAACTGAGTGCCACATTCAGCTGGGTGATCCCACAGGCCTTTGTTGGAGATCTGCAGGCTGGGTGAGCTGTGCTGAAGAACGGGTAGCTGGCGTCTGAATGAGATTTTTTGGAAGTCAGATGCAATGTTCCAGCATCTAGCCAGTTCCCAAGGTAGTACCTTAGTACCTAGCTCAAAGTTGCCTCTGTTCTGTTCTTTGTTGGAGATGAAGCCATTGTACATCAAAATGATAGATAAATGCAATTTAACTCACTGTGAAGGACCTCCAAAATGAGTATACAGAAAGACCTGCCAAGGCAAATGTTCTGCATGAGTCCCACAGGGGCTGCAGACTCCTTTTGAAAACCCTGCCCATAGAAAAATCTTGGCCTCTGGACCAGAAGCTAAAAACTGCTGCATTTTCCGTGGTCCCAGCTGTCCAGTCTCCTGGAGCGCACGGGGAAGATTCATGTTGCAGGGTTCATTTGGGGAGCAGAGCAGGCAGCACAGTCTTTGTTGAAGTACTGGCGATGCTGTGGTGCTGTTGCTTCTCATGCATCCACTGGCAGAGCCCAAGAGGTGCCTGAAAGCAGGTGAGACGGTGCGTGGTGCTGAGCAGGGAGAAGTGCTGGGCAAGGAGCATCGCAGCAGCTGTTGCTGTGGAGCCAAGGAGGAAAAGGGACCGAACTGATCTTTGAGATAATGGAACAGCAAGAGCTGTGGCCTTGTCTTTCTTGGGAAGAGGAGACTCCCAAGTGCTCTTTTTTCATATACAAAGAAGTGACAAGCTGTCAATACAGCCGTTTAAAGCCTGCAGGGCAAGGAGCAGTGACATCTGGTCTTGTGTTTCACCAGGGCGTTGAGTAGCAGCTGCAGAGAAGCTTGTGGCATCTAGCATTGACAGCAACTGAGCTGCCAGATGGGGCCACCAGTAATGTATGGAAAGCTTTGGGAAAACTTGTGTGTGCATGGCTACAGCACTTCCAGTCTGAACCCTTGGTGTGCTCCCAAACTGCCAGGGAAGCACTCCCTAGCACAGTGAGCCTGCAGAAGAGCTTTGGGGTTTGGTTTTGTGTTGATCAAATTGCCTTATGAACAATGCCCTTCTGTTTGAGCCATCCTGCCTAAAGCTTATTTTGCAGGTGACCAAGAACAGGATCCAGTCGTTTCGGGACTATGGGATTGCTCTCTTTGATGAAGCCAAAGGCCTGGTGCAGGAAAACCTCATTTTCCAAGGGAGAGCCAAGAAGTCCATTTTGCGACCAATGTCAAATGCAGAGGATTGCATCATCCAAAACAATGTGTTTCTCACTTTGAAGAAAAGGTGAGGCCCCTGGCACCATGGGGTGCACTTGTGAGCTTGGAGCCACTGTTGTGCTCCTGTGTTAGGTGAGCACTGGAGAGCTCACTCTCTTTGTAGCTCTTCCTCCCGGCTTGCCACACCTGCTGACCCGTGGCACCAGCCCCACGTGTGTGGTGAACCACTGCAGATGAGGACTGAAGATCAAGTAGAGCAAAGAGGTTCCTCATGGGATACCTCTAAAGCCAAGTGAGGGGCTTGGATTATTCCTTGACAGGCTGGTGTGGGTCTTCACGATGTCTCTAAGTATAGAGACGTCTGCCTTGTGCCCTGGCCAGCTCATCCTCCTTCACAGTGCTGCTGCCTTTGAGGCCTTGCTGCTGTGTTTGCCTGTAGCCTGGGCCAAGAGAGTCAGAGGAAGGAGAAATGGCCAGAGCCATCCCCAGTTTACGTTGTGTTTCTGTGCTGGTGAGGAGGAGGGTAGCTTCAGGCACCAGATTCCACCTCCAGGCTTTTGCTACCAAAGCAACTGTCGTGGGTTATGTTGAACCGCCCCACACACAGCCGGTCACTCCCCCTCCCCCACCCCCAGGAATGAGGGAGAGAATTAAAGGATAAACGTGAAACCCGTGGGTTGAGATAAGAGTGATTTAATACAGATGATTTAATACAATGTAGGTGCTCACCACCCCTCGTATGCGAAGCCCGTCTCGTCCCGAAAACTGCAAATCCCGGACGAACGCGAGGCCCCGAAATAGAGAGGGGCAGAGAGGGAGAGAAAGAGAGAGAGAGAGAAAGAAAAAAAAAAAACCAGCAGAGCAACAGCGCAGCAAGCGCAAAAGAGCAAAAGTGCAAAAAGAGCAAAAGC